ATGACGAGGTATTTGATTTAAATCATATCAAAGACGGAGTACATCGAGATGAAATACTACATTTATTAAAGAATTATAAACCGAATAAAATAAAAACATCTGCCCTAAAGATAAGGATAGTGCTGACAAATAAACTTCCAGTTCATTGCGCGGCGCGTCTCCCCCCCCCCCCGCAGAACAGCGTGAAATTGATAAACAGATTTCGGAACGGTTAGAGAAACAAAGGATATGCCTTTATCCATTCTTTGCAGCAATCCCACTTTTTGTTTGATGGACATCGAAACATGCTTTCGCTTCGTAGATCCTTTGGCAGCTCCAGAATCGGAAATACTTTTTGACATAATCGAAAGTTCACGCTTACTTTTATAAAATTGCTCTAACAGTCTGCAAAAAATAATAAGCCGGATCCAATTCGAAGATTAAGGAACAACGCAATCTGCAACATTAACTGAAATAGATAATTAAATAATTTTAGCTTAGCTTATACCGTCCGTTATACATTAACGCATGCGTAAACGTATTATGCGCATGCGTATACGCATTATGCGTGTACGCATGTGCAGATAGTTTGTAGCTTTGAGGTCCGGATTATAGATCATTCCGGATTATGGACGTCCGGATTAAAGACTTTTGACTGTATATATATTGAATGATCTAAAATTCCCTGAGTTAGAAAATAAGTTTTTCTAATACTTGCGCTATAGCTGCAAAGTAAGATAAGAAATATTGATTATATTATCTCCTAATATAAATTTAGTAGCATGTACTAAAAAAAGTGAACCCATATGTAGGAAGTTTAATTCCGAAAATTGTGTTTTAAAGTAACTTGAATGTAAATCATGGGAAAAAAAAAAAAATTCAGGGGGCTTGAGTTTAAATCATAAAGATCAAAATTTCCCACTTTGAAAAAGAAATTAAAAATAAAAAACAAGTTAGTATCGCTATTGTTTGGATAATTAGTTGACTTTTCAAAGGGAACAAACCAATTACCATTCAATGAACAATAATTAATAAATGCGAAGGTGTTTCGTCTTTTACTCAAGAATGATGATGCCAAACCGGCAAATTAAGTTACGCCAAAATTGTAGTTCCGTGAAGTGATGGGATTTATAATCAAAGTAGAGTACCAAAGAACTCATTTTGAATGTAGCATTTTCGCTAATACAAGGTTCTTTAGAAATTTTGAGTAAAAAGCCAATTTATGTAGTAAAATTTACAAAATACTTGAGTAAATGTCGCCTCGCTTTTATGCATGTTAATTCAAGACTATTGCCAGAAAATGCATTAATTAACTTACGTTCTTTCTAGTCGGATGTCGGTAAAATGCTCTCTCTTCTGTGTCTTACTCAGAAGGGGTGTGTGTCCAAAATTCCATTATCGGCAGTGGGGACATTTTGAATTATTACAGGCGGTGAAACTTTTGAAAAGCTATTTTTGAGACGTGGGAGGGACTAGGAATGTTTGGAAATTAATTTATTTCTGGCTAATTGCCGTGTCAGAACGAGGAAGAGAGAGAAAAAAGTAATTCTCATTGTCAACGAGCTATTTGACAGACCAAAGAGTATGAAATTAGCTCATTTTTTTAGCAACAGCATAAGAAAAGTCTGAAAATAATTATTTTTTACATTATATACAATTTTGTAATTACATTATGTACAAATCCTCCAACTGATTGTCATCCAACTTATACCGCCTTCTCAGGTTTAGGAACAAATTATCATATCCCTATCAGTTAAATGATTTAGACAAAGTATTTAACGCTTGCCCTTTTAAGACAATGGTTAATAAATCGATTAGGTATTAGATTATTTTTGAGAATTTTAATAAGGAGCAAAATTTTGCATTGTAGATCTATCGTATCTGTGCAAATATTTTTAATATGTTGTAATTGATTTAAGATTGTATTACTAATAACTTTTTTGGAGATGTTGGAAGTCCAATTTATTAATTTGTTAGTATTGAAATTGAAGTTTCTTGTTTTGTCGAACAGTAAAATTTTTTTGTAGTTAATTATTTGAAGATCGAGATAGTCGATGTTATTTTGCGAATGATAAGTTTTATTAAGTGTAAGGCATTCTGGATAAATTTCGGAGTATTCAATCTTATTAAAATTATTAAATGTTATAAGATTATCTATATATCTGTAAGTGTGCTTGTAGTAATTTAATTTTTACTGTTGTAAATTTTTTTGGAAGGTAAATTCTTTGATAAATAAAAAGAGATTACAGATCGAAGTACTGGAATATGCCCCCATTGGAAGTCCTCTGACTTGTTTAAAAAGTTCATTCTGACTTCTAAAAAACATATCCAAAGTCAAAAATCTTGGACATTGAATTAAATCAACGAATGCAGTACTCCAAAACGATTGATAGTCACTCACAAAGACTCACTACCGCAGAAATAAATCATTGGTGCGAGGTGCTTCTACGAATTGTTGAAACAATAAAAATGCTTGCTCAAAATTGTTTAGCCCTCCGAGGTACAAGTGACAAACTTTACGATTTCGGTAACGGTAATTTTTTACAAATTATTCAATTACTTGCTCAGTTTGATCCAGTAATGGAAGAACATCTCCGCAGAGTGCTTAAAAAAGAAGTTAAAGTGCACTATCTCGGAAAAGAAATTCAAAATGAATTAATTATTCTTTTACGTGAAAATATAACATCTCATATTATTAATAAGATTAAAAAAGCTAAATATTATTCAATAATTTTAGATTGTACTCCTGATATCAGCAAGATCGAGCAAATGACAGTCTTAGTAAGGTATGTATCCATTGACAAATCCAATCCCAAGGAGGTTTCCATTAAAATTAATGAAAGCTTTTTTAGGCTTTAAGGTTGAAAGATCGACTGGCTATGAACTTTCAAACATTGGAATTAAATTTGCAAGATATGAGGGGGCAGGTTTGCGATAATAGGGTAAACATGAGAGGCAATAAATCGGGAGTACAATCTAGAATAAATTCGTTAAATCCAAGAGCATTTTACCTACCATGTAGCAGCCACTTATTAAACTTGGTAGTTAATGACATGACAAAAGCATCCTTCGAAGCCGCCAATTTTTTTAATATAGTCCAAAAATATAACTATTTTTTTCCTCAGCAACTTTTCGATTGACCATATTAATAAAATATATTCACGGACTTACTTTGAAACCCCTAAGTGATACTCGTTAAGAAAGCCGAATAGATGCATTAAAACCACTAAGGTATCAATTTGGAAGGATATACCATGCTTTACTTGCTGTTTGTAATAATTCGGAGATTGACAACTCTATAAGAGTTGAGGCTTATGGACTATTAAGTTGTGTTAAACAATTTAAGTTATGCTGCATTGTAATTTGGTACAAAATCTTAAATCGTATCAAGCCTATAAGTAAGCACTTGCAGGCAAAAGATTATTATTTACCATCTGCTATGGAGCTTTTGAAAAATTGTAAAAATATTTTCAAGGATCTTAGATCGGACACAGCCTTTAATAAAATGCTTTGCGATGCTCTAGAACTCACCGACGAAATTGACATACCGGCTAATTTTGAGCTCACCCAGCCACGTCATATAAAGTTAGAAGAAGGAATCTTAATTTCGACGACGATGCACAAGATGATCCGATAGAAAATTCTACTTTAAAATAGAAGGCAGAGTTTTATTTTTTCAAATTAGATAAAGCTATCAATGCACTTGAATCCAGGCTTGGTTTGATCAGTACTCACAGCACTATTTCCAATTTTTATTACAATACTTGTGATTTAAAAGATACTCCTCAAACCGACGTACTAAAGTATTGTAAAGATCTAGAAACAGTATTAACTGATGGGAATTCATCAGATATAAACGCGTTGGACCTGGCAGACGAGATAGTAGCTTTGCTAAATAAAAAAGAAAGTCCAATCGAGATTTTAAAATTCATATCGAATCTGGATTTTGCTCCAAATCTCGGTATAGTTTTAAGGATATTGCTTACTCTCCCAATAAGCGTGGCAAGTGGAGAAAGAAGTCTCTACAAATTAAAATTAATTAAAAATTTTTTACGCTCCACAACTACCGAGGATCGGCTAAACGGCATGACAACAATAGCCGTTGAACATACACTGGCTGAAGAAATTAATGTTAAAGAAATTATAAAAAAATTCTGAGAATTAAAAGTGAGAAAAAAACACTTTTAAGTTTAACTCTCGGTTTAAACGTATTTTTAATATGTAATTCAGTTTTAATATTTAGTGGTTCTATATTTTAATATCTGTATTTTATAATTATACACTAGAAGTGACTCTTCTTTTTTTCTGTACAACCCTAATTTTAATTTAGTGCCAAAAACATAAATTAATAAATTAGTATTTTTTGCTAATTAAAACTTCAACATTATTGATAGCAATTTTTTTACTCACGTTTTATTTTACCATTAAGCGTGGGAAGGGTTTAGGTTATCTCTTTTAATTTTTGTTAAAAACGAGCGGCATTTTACCTTTTTGCCCGGAGCGGCGAAACTGCTAGCGCCGGCCCTGATATGTACTACTATGTACAGACATTACAAAAAAGTCCATTTTGGAAAAAAAGAGTCCTTTATCCTGTCCGTACGCATAGACATCAATGAATACAATACTTCCTTTACTTCGTACAAAGAAATAAAAATTGAGCAGTTAAATATACAAACAGAATAATTTTTAAAAAGACACTTAAAGTCCTAAATTTGAATTTTTTTTTTTTTTTTTTTTTTTTTTTCCACAATTGATCTTATCTGAATCTCCAGCACAACTACTGAGATGCAGATATTAGGTTATACAGACTATCTAAAGCCAAATTTATAGGTCTTTCTTTAACAGCAAGCATCATCCCAATATTGCTCTTTTATGATTAATTTAAAATTAATCAGATGAAATCACAATTTTAATGGATAACTGAGATATTAAATTATTTAAACATTTTAAAAAAGAAAAGTGAAATCTTAAAAAAATTGGTTACAAAACGGCAACACAAAGGAAACTGAAATAATACTTACAACAATCGCCTCTGTCAGGTAGAGGACATTTACCCCAAATGACACCAGATGAATTAATGTTTGAATCATTTAACACAACACCAGCTCCTTGTAGAATACAACCTGTGAATCCTCTACCCACTATAAGCTCAGGTTGTGAATGTTCTAATCGTAAATCAAAAATATCATTTTGGTATGAACTGTTTGCCACAAGTACAGTATTTCTAGACACAGTGAGCCATACAGATCCCAGTCTGTACAGGAGATCTACATCATGCCAGTGATTATCAATCAGATTTGAACCTACACTAACTGAATGCTGAAGCCTATTCACACGCCATGAAAACTCTAAACTGCCAGAAGGCAATAATGTAAGGTCAATAAAATCTCCAGTAATGCCCTCTTGGTATAATAATTGGCCACTGGAGCAAGTTCTGAAACTTAATGATGTCCTGCTACGTACTTGAAATAAAGAGTTCAAAGTTACATGTGAAGAGCTGTTAAAAAATCCTTCGGGTCCCTGAGAGAGTGCACATTGCACTTGGAACAAAAAAATAACACACAGCACCAGCATTCCACCTGAAAGAGAATAAAAAGAATGTGAATATTTCAAAAGCAATATTTTAAAATGCAGATTTATAACAAAGTGATGCTAAGTTTTATTTTAAAACTAATACATGCCAAAAATGTAAATAATTTTATCTTACATACTTTAAAAGCCAGAATGATGAAAGAAGACGAAACTGTATCAAGAATAATTTAATGACAGAATTCGGGGGAGGGGTTGAAATTTAAAATATCATTTTAACTTCAAAGTGATAGAAAGCATAACACGGTAACAAATGACTCTGTTTAATTTATCAAGCATAAAAGGAAAATGATCAGAGACAAAAATCCTCTTTAAATAAAAGTTTCAAATGACGGGACAAGACACACAAATATAGTTACTTTATTATTACTTCTTTTATTTGTCATTGCTGATTGCAAATAACTGCTCTTTTAAGACTAAACATATAATCTTTTGGAATATCGTTAACTTAAGCCACATCTGGGAGATAAAAGAATTTTCAATTTAGATGTTTCAGAGGAAGTGGTTTTCAAAGCATGGGTTGCGAAAAGTTTGAAACTCTAGTTACTTTGTTATATAATTATTAGGATAGTGTTAACAATAACAGTGCTCATTTTTATCATTATTTCATATTTTAGTACACTTTTCTTTCCTTTTAAAAGCAGCCATACACAGAGCTTAATTTCTAAAATTAAATATGACTGAGCTTTACAGAAGGCTATAAGAAACATCACACAGAAATAAATAAATAAAACGACGACGAATAATTAAATAAAATATTAAAAAATACATAAATCAGTTAAAATAATAAATCACAAAAATTGCATGAAATAATAAATAAAACAAATGATAGCACAGCAAATTAATGATAATAGGGTAATGAGGATTAAAGAAAATAAATTACTATTTTGAGCAGCTTTATTCACGATCGAGATAAAATTGTTTTCTTACATCAACTTCTAATTCATTTAAAATCTTTCAGACCATATAGAAAAGCCAGCACCTCCTGAACGTTGTGTAGTTCAAGAAGTGATTATTAAAGCCATAAATATTCTTCCTCCTTTAAGAGAGAGCATTTAGACTAGTTTTGCTTCGCATTCTGCTGTTCCAAAGAAAAGTAAGGCATATATTCATAGTACCCGTATACATTTTAAAATTTGTTAAAATAAATGTTGCATAACTTTCTGTTCGTACTGCGTTATATAAAGGAGAAAAAAAAAAATATTTAAAACTACAAAACATTTGGGTTGAAATCAAGATTTTCTTAAAAATTCTGAGAAGTGCGAGAGCCGGAGTCCGGTGGGTTCAGGCTAAATTTAAGCCCTGACTATATGCATTCGGAACATAATGAATTGAAACCATACGCAAGTGAATCGATGCAGGAAAAAAATGTTCGGGAAACATTGTTTAAACAGTTAGATTCGAAATGAATACGAAAAATCTCACAATTCTCTTACCCTGAAAAAAGAAGTCTATAAAAACGGGCTCTAGTGAGAGAACAGAGTCATAAGTGACAGAACTTGAAAAATATATATTACCGTGACTTTTGAGATTCGATAACCTAAGTTTTATTACTAATTTTGGAGAACTTATGCCATCAGTGATCTTACATTTTAAAATTAGAATCCACAGAATTTGTTCTCATTTGTCACATATTGTTGGCGGTATCATCAGAGTTATCAGAGATAATTTCACCACTCTTCCTATATTGTGTTTGGTGCAATTTATCTGAATCTGATATAAATATCAAGTTTTCCATAAAATCCTACACTGTTATTTCAGGAGAACTCAATAGCAACTGCATCTTTGCAACAAAAGTTGACTTGTGTTCTTTCAAAATTTCCAGTCATGTATGGATCAAGATGACATTTGAAAAATATATATCAGGTCTAATTACATGAATAAAAACAAAAGTCCTTTTAATTTGCCTCGTTTCGTAACTAAGCCAATATTATAAAAAACTTTTGGAAACTTTAAAAACAAAGTAAAATTTGAATATTTAATAAAATATAGTATGATACAATAGGAAGAGCACAATTTTCAGGTCTTTTCAGTCGGATCACTTACATTTTATCACACCCTCCCTTTATTTAAATTCACTTTGTTAAATGGAAAAAAAATTCATTTCATACCTGACAACATACAAAACCTGAAAAAGCTTGAAATACATTTTACAAGTCAACACAGCAATTACTAAAGGAAGAACAAAATTATTTTCAATTTTGTATTCAAGAAGAGTAACACATGGAATAACTTTTATTAATACGTATGTATTTTATTAGCACATACGTATTTACAAAACAAACAGATATGCGTAAAAAAGTATTCTATTAAATAATCTTTTTACCGTTGGAAAATATCAAAATGCAATAAAGAAGTATCTTGTTATTCGGAGAACACGCTGTCATTAACAGTTATCCTGTTAGATATTGATATGTCTGAAACATCGTTACTATCTCAACTGGGATGAAATACATTTTTCTTTGGCGAATCATGTACATATTAATGAATACTCCTGGGAACATCATTCAGTGTCATTCTTTACAAAGTATAAGCGTCTGCAGAAATTTTCCCGGATGGAAGGGCAAACATTACAAATAGCAATATCAATAAAATTTTATTTAATTTGGGGTTTACAAGTGGGTTATAGAATACAGTACTGCAACAGTATAAAAAACATATGCTATACGTACAGCAATGCAAAAATACTTTTTTACTGGATTCTAAGGACTGGCCAAGTGCCTCTCCTTTGGACGGTAACAGATTTGCAACAACATTTATTTACAGAAGGTACCTCACACATTTCTGCAGAAATCTTTTACATTCAGCTGTAGTTTCTGATTTTAACCCTACATTTCTATTGAGAAGTTACAATTGTTTTTGGCATTTACTAAAATAATATTATTACTATAATATGGACTAAACAGACTCATTGTGACGCCAATTTCTCAGAAAGATAGAGCCACGATTTCGATAGATAAATCAGTTGACTTATTTATTTCAAAACCTTAGAAATATCTAGCTCACTTCATTTTACTTCGTTATATGCTCGTTGTGCCAAATTTATTGAATGTACCTATTTCAAGAATGCATCTGCAGAATCATCTTTGAATTTACCTTTTCAAAGACGCTTAATAGATTTAACATTACTAGAAAGCATAAATTAACATTTTTATCCATTATGCAGTTAAACGAAGAAATGAAATTAAAAAAGAAAATTATCACGATAATATGAATACATCGTTTTCTGATTAATTCGGTACGGGAAGGGATACAAAGGTACTTACTAAAAACGAAATACGGTCACAGCGAAAAATCAGTGTATTTTAAAGCTAAAGTATCGACGAAGCCACTCTGATGCAGGTTACTTCAGAAGGACTTCAGAAAGAGTCCACAAACGGATCAATGAATTGGAAGATGAATTTGTTTTCGATGGAAATTGCAACTAAGCGTGACCCATTTCTTCTTTGTGCGGGTTCATCCCTCATAAAACAGCTTAAACCACCAGCATATGTTTAAAAAACTAGGTTCCTAAAAAGTATTAGATCTTACATCTTTAGTTCCAATCTTATTTCAAGGCAAGTCAAAAATGTCTAAATGTGGGAATTAAGAATATTTTCTTTCAAATCACAAAAAAGTGGCTTTTGAAAAAGCCACTTTGATAATATGAGGACTTTTAAATGGGAAATATGAAATTTCTATGCGCAACAACACTATACCCTGCAGGAATGAAGAATCACTTGGTCAGTATTGTCATTAATCAATTTATTTGACTAAACACAAGTAGGTCTCGATTAATTTAGAATCAAGAAATATGCACGAAAAAATGCTTAAAACTGTGATAGAGGAGGAAAAATAATTTAATTCTTCATTAAAAACTTCAAAGAAGATGTGTATGGCGCTCACCGATGGCTAAGGATCCCTGAAACGACAGTAGTTCGAACCCGAGTTCAAACTATCGGGGGGGGGATGCACCTGTTTACAAATAAATACAGTAATAAAATAAATGTGCACTAATTTAAAATTTCGGCTAAGTGAAAAGTCAACGGGATTCGCTGTTGAAATATGAATCTGTTATACAAGGTGGCTGATAAAAATATCATAAGGTACTCAGAATAGAAGTCATATTTAAACACATAAAACGTTTTCCGACGATTTACATATGGTATGATCGTTGGCACTTTTTTCGTTGATAAATTCCTCATTCTCTGAAATTAAGGACGACGTTCCTTTTATAAAAATCGTCGAAAATCTCTCTCTATATATATATACATATATATATGTGTAATAATAAAATTCCATAGTCAATACACTTAAAATTCTAACAGTATGTCTTTTCATTTTTAATGGCGACGTTCTCTTATTTGAAAGTACGTGGAATTAAATCCACAGCCCCGTAGTCAAGTTGTTTTTCCCGCCTTTTCTACAAGTACAGTTTTAGAATGTTCTGGAAATATTTATAGCGAACTGGATTGGCTGACGAGGCTGACGTCATTTCTTGGAAGCTCCGCCTTTCCAGAGGCTATAAAAAGACTCGCAAAAGGAATATCGGGGCTTTTTTCTTAAATGTCACGATATTGCTATCCAGAAAGCAGTACAATATATTGCCAGCAACAACATCAAAAAAGCTGTTATAGTATCCGACAGTATGTCAGCTCTGCGAGCCTTGCAAAATCCGGCACACTCTTCCTCAATAGTCCAGGAAATTCAAAGCCTCTTCCGTCAGTAAACATCTGGAAGCCCGCCTGACATGGACGAAAGCCCATGCAGGCAATATGGGAAATGAGGCAGCAGACCTCCTCGCGAAAGACGCTGCCCTAAATAAGGAAGCCGAGGAGCTAGCATTACCGTGGCCACACTCTACCTTAAAAAGAATGGTCCATCTGCAAGCACTCTCAAAGTGGCAGGCTGAGTGGGACATTGCTGAGACCAGCAGACGTACTCATTATCATCTTTTGTATGTTAATCCAGCCAGACTCTACTCTAACCCGCACCTGGTCCGTTATGTT